CATCCAGCCTCTTTGTTTTCTCCTTGTCCCTACTATATGCTAACGTTTTTTCTTACACTTTTTTCTTCAGATATGTATTAGTTCGAGTGATTATAGTGTTGGGATACTGATTCCTCATTTATTATTCAGTCCGACTAAAGACAAACGTGAATCTTTAACTGTGAGCAGGCACAATGCTAATTTAAGGTAGGGTACTGAATTCCACAGGTTAATTAGAATACTGTCTCACCTAAATTTCAGAAACTGGATTGCCATTTATCGCATTAAAAGCGGTTATCCAGTGCATTAAGCATTCACTCATTTGAATTTGTGCGTTCTTCGCTCGCAAGTATATTTACGTTCTAGTAGACGATTGCATAAATTATCTTCTTGTTAATTTAGCCTCACTTCAAAATGCGTCTTGTAGTCACTCACCGGCACCAAAGTGAAATGTCACTAATTCTGTGAACATAAAACGATGCAAGTGCCAGAATTAATGTTCCCACGATCAAGTATGCTCTCTCACCGTTTGAAATCCATATCCCCACAACGTATTTGCATTTAACATTTGCATTTTTTGAGTTCTGTCTTGCTACTGTTCGCTCTTAGCGTGACCCTTATTGTCACGCCGTGTCGCGTTTAGTTTACCCTGAGCGCCCCGCAGCTTACCGCCCCTAAGAATGTGGTCATCGTGACTACGTCGCCCCGTCACCTTGTGTCATGGCGGTTGGCCTCTGCCTCTAAAAACACAAATATTCGCCTCTGCTTATACGATTTATCCGCCGGTAGCAGTCTTGTAGATGTCTCTCAACCCCTACCTGTTCAGGTGCTGCGTGATTTACCTCGGCAAACATATCTCACTTTCTGTTGACCTATCATCTATTGTTTGACCTAAAGGAAGGAAATTAGTTATTTTTATTTTAAGGATTCATTTTCGAGAGTAACGGTTATGCAAATCGTCTCGGGAAATCTAGCGGTAACACGGTTTTTCGCCTATGTAAAGTGAGTACAGACCAGCAGTTTCATTAGTCGTTTGCGTAAATGTCGAAGAAACGTATGCATATAATAGCAAAGAGGTTGTTTATAAATTTCAAAATTGTAGAAGTTATTTAGACGACTGAGTATAAGTGATAGTATAGAGGAGGCGTCTTTTCAGACACAAAAAATTATGATGTATTACTTGGCACGACGAGGCACCTTTCGCGTTGTTTTTTTTTTCTTAATCGTGTATCATTATTCTCATGCCTCGGAGCAAATGTCATATCCACTTACTCAGCAGCCGTGGTGAGGGCAGATTTCATTTTAGGTGGCACGTGATGGTGATGAATATCATTTGGGCCCATTTTGTGCTGTTAAGGCATTACTGCTGCAGCTTTCCCTAATCATTTCATCAAATATTTTGGTCACTACCTTGATGTGTACTAGACTTTATGGCATACATAGGTATAGTAGGAATACACCTTCATGAATAAGTGCGTGCATAAAAGTTCCATAAATTGGCTCAATTTCTAGAATACTTATCTCAGTCCCGCATATTTTTTTTAAAAAATAACCTTAACCGTCTTTAATACTGGGGATCTTATTATCATCATACAGACCATATAAGGAAAAAGTGATTACTGAATGAGTTGTTTATTTGTTCCCACAACGACTGGGGAAGTCTAAAGCTCATAAACCCCAGCTGTGGGCGTTTTGGAATGAGCGTCCGCTACTCATTGATCTGAGATAACATTTTCCTCCTCCTAGCCAATACTATGCACACATCTTTTTTATTATAGCATAAGTTAATAGCAATCCCATACTTCCCAAGATAGTGATGCGTGGATTTTTGAGTGTTCCTTGGGCAATATAGAAGAAATACTCCTTGATTGTTTGAGTCACCAGTTGTAGAGAACGCGAGTCTGTTTTTTTTTCATTTTACTAATATCCAAAATGTTTTCGCAGCAAAATATTTACAATTAAGTTCCTAAACTATAGTAATCGTTAACTAAGGGAGGGCAATAATTGTCGTTTATTATATCAGGTGATTGTAATTTAAATACCAACTTCCGAGATGGATTGATGCAATGAAATGCTGTACCTTGATGAAATTGCAACATTTGATCAGTGTGGTACCCTTCATAATGCTCTCTACAGCTTACTCCTTACTTTAAAGCTTCATAGAATGAAAGAGCAGTTTTCTAATGCCTGGGCTCAGAGATCGCTGCCTTTACAAATCGAGTTTAAGGCAATTTAAAAGTGTGAAATATTCTCTTAAAATTTTTCAGCTTTTTTTGAAGGTTTACACTTTTGGGATTCCGGCGTGAAATCATTAAATTTAAGATGCATCACGTTCAAGTTGACCATCTCCTGTTCGGTAATGCTTGATATGAGTGATGAGACTGAAAAGTCATGGGAACTGAGCAAATGTGTTTTACATACGCTGACTGCAGATGGCAGGGAACTTTAAAGACCACCATTTTAGTCGTGATCTCTCAACTTTACTTGCATATGCCCTGTGCATACTAAATTGGTTGGTTTGCTACTGCTCGACTGACTTGTAATGAGAAGTGGCTTTTGTCCCCATGTGTTGCAATGGTTGTCAACCGAACCAACACATCGCTCACTGCACATTCACACCTCCAAGGCGCGCATCCCTTCATTCCCGAAAGTATGTGCATGCTTCGTGTGTGGCGGCAGACGGAGCTGCTGAGGGTCAAGCATTTACGGCTGCAATCCGTCCACCCGATACGAAAAACCTCAAAGGTGTACGAGACAACAAATCCAAACAGGGTCAGACATAGCCAGTTGGAAGCAAGCCTTCATGCCTCATAATGGACAACGTGGTCGCGAGATTGAAGCTTTAAAACGAGATTGGAATACTGACTCATGTTTCTCTAATCTTTCTTTGTGCAATCACGTAAAAAGCCCAAATTTGTGAAACAATACTGAAGTACATACAAGGGATAGTTGTTGTTAAGGCATAATCGCTTTAGAAATGTGAAAGTCACGGTCCTGTGTCCCAACGGAAGAGGGTCGCAGACTGCAATATTGGTTCTTTTTTTCTGAGGAAAGCACTGTTAGAAACTACTTTAAATTGCACAAGCTTACTTGGTCATCTCTGAGTGTATCAGACCCAACATGTTGGGGCCAATGTGTTGATATTTAGCCATCATAGGTAGGGTTCCTATTGATAGGTTTTTAAGCGATTAGACCAATTGCCTTCTAACTTAAAGTGAATGGGTTTTTTACCTCTATATTCCCACTTTGCATGAATTGCAATCCTGGATCCAAACAACTCATTATACTTTTCTTTAATCACCTCTGCTCAGAAAACACCCCGGAAAGCACATCCCTGTCCGGTCTTCAACTTTTGACAAAATATGTTTCAATAAATGTGTCAAAGCTCTAAGCTAAAGTAGTTTTAAATGGTTTTCTGCTGAAAACATGTGTGAAATTTTGGCATAATTTTCTGCAAACCTCAGCCCTAAAACCGACAATTTCGTTTGATGAAGACGTTTATCTGCGCATGTGCCAAATTAATATTTGACTTCACTCAAAAGTTACTTCACGTGCAATTTTATTGGCTTCTGTGTCTGAGAGCAGTCTCAAATCGCTTAATTACACACATGCACACGCACAAACATTCCATTGGGTCATCGAGGGGGAGATCGGCGAAACCCCTCGGTGTACCGTTTAGCTTTACCAAGTCTACTACTTAATGAGCTGCGTTTCATTGGCTTATTGAAGAGGGTCACAAATTTCGCACTGCAATTTTTCTTGGCTTTTGATCTAAATTAACATTAGAAAAATGAGAAACTTCCCTGATACTGCTTATTAAAACAACTACAACTTTCGTCTGAATTAGTTTTCCTTTTTGTATTCACTTTTCGGCATAAATTGATTATGAAAGTTAGGAGAAATTTGATTTTCCAGGCATTCACAGGCTGATTAATGCCAATGCAATAGGCCTTTCTCATGTTGAATGGCTTCGTGAGAAACATTTCCGACAAAAAACAAATTTGTTTGAATCTTAGAGAAACACTCAGGAGATGCGTCAGGAGAGCTAACTGTGTGAATTAAAATACCTGGAAATGTTTACGTTACCATCTTTCTAAGTTCCTCTTCTGCCGGGCGCTTCGAGTCTTTCCTGAAGTCGTAAGAAATCATGGTAGCGTGGCAGAAAAATGCCTTACTGACGTAAAGGTGGACTAAGGCCACTGGCATGACCTGGAGGCCATGCTGTCGAGCGGAAGTACAATTCGCGAAGACTTAAGCGCCCGCGTAATCAAACATAGGGTTAAACAAACTATCAAGGCAACGCATAGCCTCTCTCTTTGAACGACGTTCCCAGGACTCCGCTTGGTCAACTTCCGCGTCGGCCGTCACAATGTAGTCGCCGCGTTAAAAAGACAGCACTCAAGAAACAGCCACGCCAGTCATCGAATTCGCGTGCAGCTGAGAAGATATTTGATCCCAACATCACTGATACATCTCGGCAAGCCCACTGGATTTAGGATTTCGTTCCGTTTAGGAACAAACCTGAGGAAGGCGGAACGCGCTGCCCCCTTAGTGGTGGAGACTAGATGATGCTCTACATCGAGGCCATCTCGTGTGGAATCATTTGGTGAAAGATGGGCATTAAAACATTTTCATGGGGTTAACATTTTACAACTACTCCTTTTTGCCACTTTGTTCTAGGTTCCATTTGGCTGGTAGAGAGGTGGAAGAGGTATCCCATGTTCACTTCAGATGGTTTACGGCCAATGCCGGTGTCGCTTTATTTGTTAATATCATCCCAGAAAACGAAAAGGGGCAGTTGCCGAAATTGGACATCATTTTCAAACTTTCTATCAGGAATTGTCACGGGTTTTCTCATTACCAGCAGGTACCCTTCTTCCATCGCGTTAAGGTCTAACATTCAGTGATAGGGTTCGGGGTAGTCGCTCTTACGGATCGGGTTTGCTCGCCGCTGGCACCGATGAAGCACCCCTAGTGTTACCTGAAGTCGTAAGAAGCCATAGCAGTGTGGTAGAAAATGTGTTAATGCCCTACAGAGGAGCTGAGACTACTGGCATGACCCAAAGGCCATGCCATCGAGAGGAAGTGCAATCCATGCAGACTTGAGCTCCCGATTAGTTAAATGCATATTTAAACAAATTGTTAAAGCATTGCGTATTCGGTCCCCATACTTAGACATCTTGCCTTATTGAATGCTGCATGACTAAGAAGTGTTGACAAATTTTTTTCGCCCTCTAATGACTTTGTTGTCATTTAACAGTTAAAAAGTACACGGTCTTTAGGCAAAGCATTAGTAATGCAGTTGAGGGTGATCATGAAAGCAAGCAAAATTGGTCCCTCTCTGCTGAGTGCAGGATATTCCCATACCCTTTGTCACTTGCCCTACGCCATGAACAAGTTTTCTCATAACCACCTCTGCTACATTTTGGTTTGGTTCCATGTGTTTTTTCGACCTTTAATGTTTGACAGCGGGAGTAAAGTCTCATGAATTTCCCACACCTATCAAAGGCAGATGGATCAAATTTTAAGGACAAGTTAAAAACCTTTTTTTGTAAAACCGAAGCACGGCACATCAGATATCAGTTGCATTTAAGCAGCCTTTTTTTGACAAGCACGAGGGACGATACGCTACTTATATACTTAAGAGGCACAAAAACATGGTAAATTAACACTAGTCATGTATGTATCGAATTTTTTGAGGTATTTTCTAAATTGCAGTTCAATCAACAAAGTAAATCTGACATTCGTTGGGCATAACTAGAATTTGCCCGGTTAGACTGCAAAAAACGGCTCTTCGTGACTCTCATCCGACAAACAGTCTATTCGACAATTTCAATGCTAAAGCTAACTTTTAATTTTATTCTTAATGCACATCTTAAACCTGTTGATTGTGTTAAATCTAAATCTTGCCCCCTGAATTTACGTCAATCTCTGTGGTCAGGTATTTCAATTAAAGTGATAGCTCCAACCGGTTGAAACTCGAGTGATTGAACGTCGAAACAGCCTTCTCGCCTTCGCTTTACAGTCTCACTATTGGTATGGGAACGAATGATTGGCGTATGTTAATGCAAAAAACGTTTCGTTCTCCGGTTGCATGCTTTACTATGCAAATCTACAGTTTGAGTAGCTGCCAACTTCTGCATCCATTTTTGAGGAGTAATTGGATGCCTTATAGGCAACATCTGAGCGCCCCCAACTCATTAACCTTCCTGTTCATAGCTTCACCTAGGAAGAGAGGATTTGTGCTGATCTAATGTCAATTCGTTCACTGCCAGATATACTGGGCTACAGAATTTCATGCTGACAGGGAATGTCTCCTCATGATCGTAGGAGAGATTTTACCGGGAACTGCATGCACAGTTACCCTCATGTTATTCGCTTTGCCCATACTCACTCAACAGATAACTCAGTGAAATTGTTATATTTGGTGGTACTTTTTCGCGTTTTGTGTGGAGTTGGGTCGTGGACTCATTCTGAGGCGATCCACAGCGTTACATCTTTTACTTCAACTACCTAATTTGAGCTCTGTTTTCAACGGAATCTCAATCCCCAAAATGAAGGTATGTGAAACAAATCTCAAGGTCCATTTATAGTGTATTCCTATTACCACTGGTCTTACCACTTAGTTAAAGTGTGAACTTATTTATTATGCCTAGCTAATACTAATATAAACCTTTCTTACGGATGATTGATCTTTGGAATAATACAAAAATAGTATTGTAGATTTCCTAGGTCATTAATGACGTCGTTTCCCGTGGCCCCTTTGGTAGTTCTTGCTCATAAAAAAGCCATCTTCATCTGACTGTATGCTCCTTTTATCGGAATTCAAAACTACTGTAGGAGTCTCAAATCTTCCATCTAACCCCTTTCTCACGTAGTTTTATCTTATCTAAAAATCCCAGTCAGCGCCTCAATTGTGGGCTTTTAAAATCCTAAAATCTTGGATGATCTTATTACCAGCTAAGAGTGCCTTAAGAAATCCCGATGTATGTGTGTGTGTGTAGCTTTATCATTAACCTTTTCTTCAAACTGGTTTATAATTTGTCGAGAAAATCACATAAAGTTCAGGTACTAATTAATTGCACATATTTTCTACACTCATCTCATCCACTTCATAAGAGGGCAAGAATTATAATTTAAGGTTACAATATGAACCCCCTTAATGACTTCGTGATTTAATGAGCCTGCTCATTAGCACTGAATGTCAAGATGCTCACAGCAGACATGAAATGGCGAAAACACAGTACGCTAGCCAAGGCGATTTCACTGCCGGTGATGCTAGACTGTGAATAAAGTGACAGATTTCTTCTCAGAGGCGTTTCTGCCTTCTGGCACCACTCGCCTGCGCTCCCTGCCACGCTATTGGTCAGCGCCGATTGCGTCATCAACGCCATGCACACGTGAGTGCGTACGTGCGACTCTTTGTGCTGGCGCATTACTCAAGCCGGTGTGCACTCGAGCTCGCCCATACCCGCCAACCGGTGTCTGGAAATAGGGCGCTCCTGCAGTAGGCCTGCTCGTCTCATACATTGCTACGGTGCCAGGGGGCAGTCCGGAAGGCCCAGATTCCCGATATGCTATCCAGGTTCGAGTTTATTAGGGTCCGCTGGAGCCTGCAGGATACAGGTCTCAATATCATGCATGTTTACCATTTGCACTGGACGCCATAATTACCTTATTAACTGTGAATTACCAAGACATGCTGATTTTTGGGACTCAGTCAATCACCGTTGAATGATGTGCGCCTTTGACTCAGTCAAAAGTTCCATTAGACACATATCTCACCTTCACGTATGAATAAAATCTTCACTATGAGAAAACCACTTCATAGCCTGTGCAGTCTTAACAATGATAAAGAAGCATCCACTGAAACAGCACTGTAAATGACGAACTAAATGAAAAACAATTAGTATTTATCTTCTGACGAGGTTCTGATGAGATGTTAATTTCTACGAATTAAAGGTTCATGACACAGTTTGAATGTGTATGTAGCTAAAGCAGACTTTCTTTCGTATCCTTCCACCACCAGCCCGAGGACGATGCAAGAAACGCAACTGTGAGTGGTGCTACGAGACGAAAGGTGCGAGCAGTGAGGAGCACTGCTGCGACACCTCATGTCTTGGGGGCTGCACAGGCCCCACAAACGCCGACTGCTTCGTAAGTTTGCCGAATTTTCATTATCTGTCCTTCTCGATCATAAAACTTGGAAAACACAAGCGGAAAACAGTTTTCCTAATAGCTAACCTCACTATTTGATTTGATCCCTTTTACTGTTTATGTCTAAGCTGAGTACTGCCTGCGCACCCCCACATCAAATGGGTGAGAATACCACAAGTAAATGGTCAAAGCAGGGAGAATCAAGTAGAAACTACATTCCAACTACATACCAACTTCATTCCCTATGTCTCTTAACAATTTATGAACCCGTTGAAGTTTGATTCAAACTCGCTAAGTGCTTCCTTTAATTACCACCATAATCTCCTATCTTTTGGGCAGTGGTAGTTCCCACAGTTGCCTTTGCCTCGAGTAATTGCGCATTAATATATAAAATATACTATTTTCATAAAAATACAATAAGAAACCTTGCTCCCTCCTTATTTTCTATGACTCGATTGTATGATGGCCATCAAATTTTCTACCATAGGTTTGCAGAGGCCTCCGTGACGGGAACAGATGCGTGGATAAGTGTCCTCCACCGGCGACCGTGCAAAACTACCGACTGACACTAAACGTGAATTTCAGCTACGAATTCAACGGATTTTGTGTCAAAGAATGCCCGAGTGCGATCATTTTTTACCATCATGCTATTCTGCATACTTTGTAAATTAAGTTGAAGTGAACCTGGAGGCAGCCAGTCACTTGGCGATTGCTTCTATTGCTACTAATTGACATGAGTAAACGCTAAGAACTTGAAATTCCTCAAATAAGCACTGTTGAATTGGTGTCACGAAAGGGTTAGTATGGCTTCTAAATTAAAAGTTAGCACTGAGTAAATGAGGTAGGTCAAACCACACAAATGAAACATCTGCATGGATTTGTCATTGTAAGAAACTTCGTCTGGTAGATTATTTTTCGACGTACAGCATACGTTAAATGTTTGCAAAGTGCTTCTTTTTTTATTTTCAGAGTCGCTATTAACTGAGGGGACCAAATGTGTAAGCGAATGCACTCCCGGTCACTACTACGTCTCGGGTCACTTCTGCATCCCTTGTCACACAAACTGCCCAAAGGGTGAGACTTTTCAACCCAATAGTCACTTTTCCTAATCATTTTGGGAGCTCATCCCTCCCCTATCTCAAAAAGTCACATTTTAGTCGAATATAGCCCAATACCTGTGATACCACTAAGTAAATGGAAGGGTATGACAAATCTTCCTCAAAGTAGACTTATTGTTGAGCAAAGCATGTGTTTGCCGTAAATGAGTTGCATAAAAATTTGCGTCCGCAATGCTTGTTTTCGTTGCAGTTTGCTCCATTGAGAAGTTTTCCAGTCTCGATGCCACAACGCTGGCCAGCCTCGAAAACTGCACTACCCTCTCTGGCGATCTAATCATTTCAGAGGAGTCCTACAAGTACATGCTAGTGGCATATTTTTACACTCACTTGAATTTTATGCAGTTCATATCCGCATTCCTCTGGGGGTGTTATTTCACCTGATTCCTGCAATGACACTTGGCTCTAATTCAATATTTCATTTTATTGAGATCCTTAAGTTATAGATTACACAATGACTTGCCGTATTTAGGACAAAATTAATGATAAATAGAAGTTTCCTACTATTATGAATAAAAATAACGTCATTCTGAAGTTTGAGCCTTACCGTGAAGAGGTCTGCTGTCTTTGACGAATGCTAAGCCACTATTTCTCAGATGGATGGTTTAGTCTGCAAATAGAGGTCATTTAGGGTAGTAATCAAAATCTGGCTGTTCATACC